ATGGGTCAGGCAGTTTAAAACGCATTTATACTAATCACTCGCTCCTTCTTAGCAGAACGAATATTATATGAAATTAAGAGAGAATCAATATTCCCTCAGCGGAAACATTCGTAATCATTAAGCGCGGCATTATATGGTAAACCCAAATTGAATACTACAAATATGTGTATTACTAATTACAATTATGAAAGCATACATATATTAACTATATTAAATATTGAATGTATTGAATTGACCACGATCGGCATACTTGGGCATAACATCTTGTGCTCGATCTGTTCTCTATGGAACGGATTGATAGATCCCAAACCCAAAATTCAATCACTTTGCATGCCCGACAAGAGAAAATAAATTTGTCAGTTTCCAGTTTCAGTGTCATACAAGTCAAACAGAAACCAAATAAAAATCAATAAATGCCAATTTATGTTGGATAAAACCAAATTCGTTCTTAGCTGTTTCTTTGGGAGATATAATATATGGTTTATAATTGTAATTAATTAATTTTTCCATGGTATCGTCGTTAAGCAAAAAAGTATGCTAACGTTTTCTCTTTTACTACAATCAAGCTGCCGTAATCTTGCATACTTTTAGGCACTGTTTGCTCAGGCAAGGTACAAAATATACAAAAACTTAGTTAATTAAAGCTTTAAAAATATACTCATACATATTAAAGTTATTATATATTGTACACATTTTTATAGTACGTATATCTGTGCCAAGATCTGTTCAATATTGCGTCCCTAAATCATTATATAACCAAAATGCATTTTTTGCAATCACATTCCAGGTGTTTTTCCCTTTCAATCAACAACACATGTATATTCACTTCCCTGGAGCAAACTTTTAAATTTAGGACAACAATAAACAGCCTATTCAGCTTTTTTATTTGCCCATAAATATTTGGCCATCGGAGGCAGCACTTGGGATTTGCACATCCAGTTAGCGGCTGCAGGCTAAGCTCTCTGCAAAGAACAAGTGCTGGTGCAAACAGTGCAAGTTGGCCATGTTAATAACCCAATGCTGGCATAGCGACACCTGCAGGCCCAGATATGCAGAAGTTACCCAAGATTCGGACATCATCATCATCATCATTATTTGCATATGGCGGTTGCCCAATTCAATCAAATGCCGCTTACAATTCACACTCTCCGGCCAGAGGCCTTGCGTAATATAATTAATTGTTGCAAAATCCGATGACTTACAACTAAATGTGGCTCATTAAATATAAAACCATGCTGCCAGGCGGTCAGGCAGCCATGCCCCCCAGCATGAACGCCTTCCCAATAAACCCAAGTGGATGTGGTCGGTAGTTAGGCAGAAAAGTAAAAAAAAAAAATGAAAATTATTCGCAAACAATTGCGATTGGCGCCCCGCACATCCACATCCACAACCAACAATTGTGCATTGTCTTCGGTGATGTGACGCGGCTGCATAACAGAAATTTCAACATGTTAATGGGCGGAGGGGCAGGGGAGTCGAGCGTTTAAGCGCTAAATGGCCTGCGAGCTACTGGCGATGGAAACATGACAAATACTCCCATCAAATATTGATCATTTAGCGTATCAGTCGCAGAACTCTGGGGAAGTCGTAAACTGCAGTTGTCTTGGCGCTTTGTCCATAAATCTTTTTGCCCCCCTCTACCACCCCTTTCAAAACTGTATGGGAGAGAGAAAATATTATAAAAACAGAGCAAAAAGTAATCACAATGTTTGACAATCGAGTCGTTTTGCATTTGAATGGCTGGAGGAAGCCACAGGGGCATCCCATGCATCCCAAGCCTTAGTCGAAAGCCAACAAACATTGGAGTTCCGAGCGTTGAGCGCTGAGCGTCAAGCGTGGCCAACATTTGGTTAATGGGGGCGTGGCAGCAGGTGGAACAACTAGGCCAAAAGGGGGCAGTATGGCATCATTTGCATAGGCTCGCTAGGCATGATGTGAAGTAAAGAAAGAAGCATAAGTTGATAAACCATAACGAAAGCTAAATAATTAATAAAATGATTAAGCATAAAGAGGTGAATCTAACCCATTAAGTCCGCCTTTAAGGCATGTAAAAATCAATAAACATTTTATGAGGTGCTAAGTGGTCTTATATTAGTTGTTAATCATTGGAAAATCACTTTCTGTTGAAGTTCAGAGAAATAACTGATAAATAATAATATCCTTTACTTTTAGATCATAAAGTTATATTGCTAAAATATTAAAAATATAAAAAGTTTATTGCTCAATTATAAAGCTTTTCCAAACATTTTCAAGTTCGAATTATCTTCACGACAGTAATAGGAAGCGGGAACTTCGTTTTCATAGTCTTTATTAAGGTAATTAAATAAAACACTAAAAACGCATAGTAAGTAAGGAAAATATCTCATAAAATACCAAGACATCTCAACAAAGTAGCCACAATACGCACGGAAAACTTGTCAAAGTCTCTGGCAGTCTTCGAAATTGAATAAATTTGACAGGGAAGAGTTGCGCTTGAGAGTTAGCCAAACAAGTTCGTTGCCTGAGTCTTTTGTTTTGGCACGCAGCACGTTGAGTCGGTCAGCTATAAAATGGCATTTATATAGATTGGAGATAGGGGACAAGCGCGTTGACAACGCAATCTCGGTGCCGCCCTTTAATCATTTTTAACGGCTACCGGCTGCAAGTACCTCAGTACGTACTACACGAAGTTCGTTTGCAACATCTCTCGTTGGCCATTTCGGCAGCGTCATGGCTCTTGTAGATGGTTAGTGACTTACCTGCAAAGAGTTTTTCCCTTGGCGGACTGCCGCTAATTCACGCCTTCCCTGCTTTCAATCAGCAAGTTTTGCCAGCGACCTTGCCACACATGCATCCATGGCACTTGCCTAATGTCACCAAATGGGAGGCAGTGCGAGTGGGTGGCAGTGGCTCTGCTCCAGTTCTCCTCCTTGCCTTCATGTTGACCCACATCCACCACATCCACTTCCATAACAATCTCACGGTGGCGAAAAAAAAAAAGAGTCAACAGCACCTGGCGAGCAATAACCCCGCGTCATCGGTCCAGAGTTGCAGCTTCACGCTCGGCGGGCTTTGGCTCGGAATTCATCACGTGCTCAGCGGCTGCGGTTGGAGTCTTGAACCTGAGCCACTACATTTAGTTATTTGTACAAGAAATGTTTCTTCGCCGCCGCTTTTTGCTGGGTGTTGCTGCGTTGCGGGGCGCGAACAAAAGATTTATTACAATCAAATATTTCTGTCGCTGTGCCGTTGTTTTGTTTTGTTTTGATTTTGATTTTTTAATTTTTGTTTTGTTAACTCAAATTTATTTTTATTACATTTTTTCAATTTCTTTCACTCGGTCGGTCTGTGTGGCTGGCTACGTTTTGTTTCGACTACGGCTTGTGCAATGCTGTTGCTGTTGCTGTTGCCGCCGCTGCTGCTTCAATAATTAAAACAACAACCATTATGTGCTTCACTCCAATGCGTAAAGTGTAGTTGCTGCTGCTTGTTTATCATTTCTGTGGCTCGTAAGTCGGAGCTAGCATGACACTTGCTTGGGCTGGGTTATGTAAAGGCGGAATGCAATTCAGGCCTCGTTGGAGCATCAGCTCTAATCACATGCCACATCGAACAAGTGCAGTTGATACGGATATTTGGTTGGCTTGTGGCCAATTCAGTTATGGTCGGACCACTCACTGTGATAACAATGGTGTGATAATGGCTTAAAAGATGGAAAAAGAAAACGAATCGATTCGAATCGATTGATATTGACAAAAGCGGGGCTGCGACCTTGGCTTAATTAGCCGCTAATTGTCCCGACAGAGAAAGAACCCCAAATATAAGGGGTTATGTAAGCAGAAATCAATTACCAAAAGTCAAGGAAATACCTGGAGCGAAGACAAGCCATTGTGCTCATTAACAATGTGTTGCATCTGTGGGTTTATCGGGGCTCATCTTTCCCCTGTCAGCCGTATCCACACCCCCAAAAAGTCATTTGCCAGACGCGTCAATTGTTGATTTGCCAAAATCTCAGGCAGCGGCAACATCATTAGGCAGCGACTACTGACTGAGATTTGCCAACGGAATGTTTGCTTGAACTCGAACTTTTTGCGGCGGTTACCTAATCGGCGGAGCTCCGCAGGCTCCGATTGCAACTGCAACCGGTGCAACAGTTGGCTTCCTCTGCTAACCTTATGCGGGCTTCGCTGCTTGGCACACAGACACACTGCACGAAAGCGGGGGGGTGGAGTCAATTAATGCAACATGTGGCAACCGACCGAGTGACTTGGAATTGCGGAGCCGTTAGATGCGATATTACCTTCGGCGCTGGACGGGCTGTGGACTGAAACTGAAACTGAAACTGAGACTGCATCTAGAGCTGGAGCTGGTACTGCATCTGCAACCAAAGCTAAGGCAGCTGCATTCAACTTCAACTTGGCAACAGGAAGTGGCAGCGGTATTGTTGCCGCTTATCTGACGCGGAGATGCTTCCTTGAGATTTATTTGGCATCTAGGCAAAAGGCAGCATCAGCATCAGCATCAGCTTCAACATCGCCATCAACATCATCATCATCGCCATTGCAATTGTTGACTTTGGCTCATGGCCTTTTTGCCAATTCCAGCTGAACGATGTTGTGGCGACTTCTTCGACTCGTCGACTTTTCGACTTTTTCGCCACTTATCTAACTTCCGGGTGTCGTGGGCCAAAATCGAATTTTTATGAGTTGCATCTTCGCTGTAATGGCCATCGAGTCATCGTTGGAACTACCAAAATTGCTTCATCCGCAAAACAGGGAGCAACGCTTCCTCCCAACATGTTGGTATCTCCCTCCGAACCGTAATTAAAAGCATTTAGTTTTTATGATTATGTTTAAAGTTACTGCTATAGTTGCTTTAATTTCTGTTTCGGCGCTACGATAAATGCTTTCATACATCACTTTTCGCGAGAGTGTGTGTGTGTGGGCCGCATGGATTATAATTAAGTTTAAGTAGATATTTACAACACAATGTTTGCACCCATATAAAAATAGCAGAGGTGGTTATAATTTTTGTTGTTTTATTGAATTTTGTATAACTTAAAGACAAAAACGCGCGCATGACTAATTTGTACACTTGGGGGAGACGGCGATGACAGGGGCGGGAGGAGATGGGCAATTCCAACAGGTAACGTAAGGTATGAAGTCTTTTTTACAAAATGCAGGACGAAAGTGGGATGCCTTTCAACATTAAGTCTATGTAACAATTTCAGCAGGTTGGGTTGTACTGGGATGTGGGGGGATCAGCGGGATCAGTTATCAGATATCAGTGCTGTCGCCTGGCCAGCGAGAAAAGTGGCCGAGCGGAGACCCCTGCCGCGGACTTAGTCCCATCCGTGGCCATGGCTCACTGGCACCCACACCTTCTCCCAGACGGGCTTCCACACCTTCTTCCACTCCTGTACCTTAACCTCCTTCCACACGGGCACGTTCACCGACTGCCACTCGTCCTTCCACGCCTGCTTCTTCTCGGTGGCCCACACCTGACGCTTCTCAGTGCGCCAGATCTGCACCTTCTCCTCGATCCAGGTCTCGCGCTTCTCCTTGATCCAGATCTGCTTCTTCACGGGCTTCCAAACCTGAGATAATGATAAGTCAATTATTTCTATAGGCGCATTAAGTACTTCCTGAAAACCCACCTGGATCCATTCATCCTTCCATTCCAGCTTCTTGTCCTGCTTCCATTCTTGGACCTTCTCGGTCTTCCATTCCTGCTTCTTTTCAGTGCGCCACTCCTGTTTCTTCTCTGTCTTCCACTCCTGCTTCTTCTCGGTGCGCCAGACCTTCTTCCACACAGGCTTCCAGATGAGCTTCTTGCGCCAGAGATCGTGGCTGGTGTACTCCCAGCCCTCGTGATCCTTGCCCAAGAACTTTTCACCGGGAATTCCCATTTTCACCTGTGTGAATTTCCAGCTTAGTTCATATTCTGAGAAGAGTTTAGTGATAACCTACCCATTGGGGCTCAAACATTTGCTTCCAGTCTGCCACCTGTACTTCCTTCCAAATGGGCACTTGAATTTCCTTCCAGTAGGGGACCTGCACCTCCTTCCAGATGGGCACCTGGATTTCCTTCCAGACGGCCACCTTGGTGGGCACCCAAATGGGTTTCGTTACCTTTTTCCATTCGGCCACCTTGACCTCCTTCCAGGCAGGCACCTCTCGCTCTTCGATTTTCGGTTTCTTAACGATCTTCCAGTCGGGAACCTGTTCTTCTTTCCAGACAGGAACCTGGCAGAATCAATAGCCTTAAAAACCTTTACTTCGTAATGTTTTGTCAATGGCCTTACCTTGACTTCCTTCCATATTGGTACCGAAACCTTTTTCCACTTGGTTTCCCAAGCCTCCTTCTTGACGGTCTTCCACACCTGGACCCAATCCTCCTTCCAGGTGAGTTTCTTCTTCCACACTCCCTCTGGGGGATGGGCGTAGGCTAAACTAAGGATTAGCGCGCAGCTGGCGCTGAGTAGCTAAAGGACAAATAGGAAGTGGGAGAAATTGGTATTTTAATTCGAATATTTTTATTATTAAGCACTTTTTTGGCTTAGGTTTAGTATCATAAATGTAACTTTTGGCCATAATGTTTAAATAAACGTCCTTCTTGTATCATAAATCTTTCGTATTTTATGACTAAATTTATTAGTAATCTCTGACCCTTGAAATATGTTTTTCGGTATGAACTTTTATTAGTGTTCCCAGACATAAACTTCGGCCTTATGTAGAGGTTTAATTCATAGCTAAATTTTATGTATTTCTTATGTTTATATTTTTGTTTTTTTAATTTAATTATTAAACTCCGTGTATAAATTTGAAGCACTTCTGTTTTCACTTGAACTCTTTGTTTGAGTTTCACAAATGTCTTTGCTTTCTGGGTACTTTTCGAGGATTCACTTTGGTATTTTTGGTATTTTTATGGACACTAACCAACAAACTTAGGGATCTCATGCTTGGTATCCCTTGCACCACAGCGCGTCAAAACAAAAGAAGCTGATATGTGCCTCCTCTGAGGTCTTCTATGAACACTATTCGCATTTCCCTACATGCACATCTATTTATATTTTGAATGGTCTCGTCTCCGGACCGCCGAGCCACCGTCGCTGGCGTCTCAGCCACCGTTGGCAGAGCAGCGGCGGCAAAAACAAAAGAAAAACCAAATCCACAAATGCCAGCGGACCAAAGCTTTGCCGCTCTGCCCGGGTGACTTACTCCAGGTGCAAAATGCACGCAGCCGAGCCGTCGCGTCGCTGCCAACGTCCCATCGAAAGCAAAAGCAGAAGTCAAAACAACAACAACAGCAAAAGCAAAAGCAGAAGCAGAAGCAAGGTAAAAGCAAAAGCAAATCTGAAATCGAAAACCGCAGAGAGTGAGAGTGGAATGGCGCTCGGCCCGCCAGCTGATAGAGCTGCCTCAACTTGGAGCCGCTCTTGGACCGTCGATGACTGCGCGGATTTTCCCAAGGTAACGGCGCAGCTTCAAAACAATACGAAAAAGACCACGAATACGCATACGTACCGTAGGCCGGCAATTTCGGACTGCCATTGGACTCGAGTGGTGGGGTCCATCATGGGTCCATGGGTCACTTGAGACCCATCTCCGCGGTATGGTTGGACATGGACAGAAGAAGACCCGAGGTAGAATGCAAGGTGCTCGTAATTATGATGTTGGCAGCGGTGATTGGTCAAGTGCAACGCCATCCAATCCTAGGCAGTTGGAACTCAAGAGGTGCGACTTCTTCTTTACAGAGTTTATTAGTTACTCTCGTGACTGTTAACCCTGATTTGGTGTTTTAATTATGATTGTAATTACATTTTGTAATACAGCTTTGTTATGGTTTATTATTTTGTTTATTTTTATCAGTTTGCGTGGGTTTTTTATATATTTTGAAAGTCCATATTTATATATCTTATATCCATGATGTAGATTAAAAAGTCAGAAGTGATTTCAAAGAGGAAGATCTTATGAATAGACCTAAAATGTATGTACATGAATAGTTTTTAGAAGATGAAATATATTTTTAGATTTTAGTACTCCCACCTCTGGTTATTAACGAATAAGAAGCTTAAATTGATTCCCAAAACGGAGGATTTACTTTAAGTTTTCAATTCCCGCACAGTTATTAAATTTCATAATTTGCAATCCCATTAATCTAGTGTTAGGATCAAGGTCTTCTAAATACATTTGCCACTAATTATTAAAAATGTTAACATATCTTTGTCTGCGTGGTTAACCGAAATTAATAACCCTTGGATGCTTTTGCCAGCTAGCCCTCGCCGTAATCTGTACTCTGATTATGGGGCGTTGTAGTAATTTGGCTATATTATAACATCTTCTGCAAGGTATACAAATTTAAAATGTAGCATTAATCATCTCTGACCATCAGTCGTACATTGGGTATTAGAGTAACAAAGTCCTCCCTCCTCCCCGAAAAGCGATCAATCAATACCAATCGCAGTACAAAGTGGTTCACCTCAGGCCGCTAAGCCCAACGATAAGGTCAATTGCTGTGGGCGTGTAGCGCCTGCCATCGTTACATTTGGCCAAGACGCTAAGTAGTGCTAAGCTACAGCAATTCGGGTTACGTGCCCGCATTTTATATGGCACGATTAACCATGTCCGACTCCCCGCTCTGAACTTGAGTGACAAACAATTAGCACGGCTTCGGACTTCGGGCAGTCCAGTTGCTTGCCAAATGATAGCCGGGGAATTCGGCTCAGCAAACGGAAAACAACAAATGCCATTTATGGACGGGTCGACCTAACCGCTCAAATGGCAAAGCGACCTCCGCGGCATGAAGACGTTTAGCGCCACCGCCGATCGCGGATCTAGTCAGTGGGTGCACTTGAAGAAACTAAGTATTCAGTAATAATCTCGGATTATCAGCTTTTCTAAGAGAGAGAGATTCGATTTAATTTCATATATTGTATGTGTGAAAGGTTGTAATTAAAATTTACTTTCATCATATTTTGTATGATAAGTTGTACTTCAAATCGCTGTTTAACTGAAAGTGTTTTCTAGACTGTTTATTATATCGTTTACTACTCTTAGCTTGCCTTAAGTAAATATTTTAAAAATAGTGATCTGATAACCTTTTTTCATACAAAATACTCTTCTTTTATACCTCTCTTTAATGTCAGTGTACCTTTTATTAAGCCATAAATTATTGAATCATATTCAGTGCAAATTAATGGCCACTTAATGTTTTCAGTGCTGTTCTGGTAGTCGGCTCCGAAGACTAACAGGGGCCAAATGGACTTTTTGGCGTGATGGAGCGGCGTGCGTTTTATGAACACCCGGATAGTTAAACCATTAGGCTTTGACAAATGCGTCAAGAGCGTACAGTTGGCCATAATTAACACCCGCGAAACGGACCAAGTCTGAGTCTGAGTTTGCTTTTCTGATATTCGAACTGCACACGGAGCGCATCGGGCTGAAGTTGGCCCTTTGAGGCGATCCGATGCGATCGTAAAAAATAACGTATTATGCAGAAATTGAAACCGACAGGCTGGTCGCCCCACAAGTTTAGTTACATCATCCAGCCAAAGAGGAGCAGACGGATCGAATCGGAGAGGAGTGGAGTAGAGCGGAGCGGGGTGGTCAGACGGACGGCCTTCAGTGCAGCACTGCAAAAGGAGAAACAGACAACACGAAGCCAGACCCGACATGTTAAGCCAATTTACCAAAAAACCAAAACTCGAAATTAGGTAAAGAAACACGAATATAATGAAGAATGTGCAACAGGCTCCACTGCGCTCAGTTCGGATTTTATTTTTCATTTTGTATTTTGTATTTTGTATTTATTTTTTATTTTCGCCCAGCTTGCTTTTTGTTGTGCAAAATGAAATTGAAATTCCTGAAACGTGCCCAGCAGATCTGCGACGTCTGTTGACTGGCAATTCAAGTTTCGGTTTGGCTTCCCGCCGAAGATGTCGTGGCTGGAGTCAGGTCTGCTTTGGAGCTGGATGGCAGGATGGATCGATGGATCGATGGATCGATGGCGGGATGAAGGCTGAAGGCTGCTGGCCGCAGGCTCTGGAAACACCTTTCGCTGCGGTTGTCTTGTCCCTGCTCACCCAGTTGCATAATTTACGGCATCTCTTTATTGATCTGGACGCTTATATGTAGGTTATGCACTGGCTTATATTATGACTATCGGCCAGACAGGTTTCCGCTGCACGGCTAGGAAGCGTGTGAAATTGGCTGGAAAATGCCTTAGACTGAGCAGGGATCACGGGAAGGAAATTGTTTTTAAGAGAAAGGTTTGATGGGACTGACATTTGGCTTTAAATGTTTTGACAGTTTATTCGACTAATCCAATGATGGTTAAGTTTTATGGCTACTGAAGAGAAAAAGGAAGAAGTTACATGGGTAAGTCATAATGAGTGGCATATCGTATTGAGGTTTAAAATGTAATGTTAATAAAATTCATTTGGCAGGAACAGTAATGAATGGCATAATGCTTGAAAGAAAATATAATGACATCCTGTTAACTGATTTAGTTAATAAAAACGAATTTAAACATAAGTCATTATAATCCCTGAAAGTTTGTCATCCTAATAGCTTTGCTAGTTAAGTTTAACATTCTTAAGCTGTAAACAACTTTTAACTACATTTTGTAAGTTTTTAAAACCACTTCGAATCGCTTTCCAGTTTTAGGAGATCTTTAAAATATGTTGGTTAAGCCGACACTTTGACTTGGAAACTCTTAGCAAGATATCTGAGCTGCATCAAATTGCTTTTATATGACGAGTGCTAACCAGCAATTTGTAGTTCTAACATTTGGCCAATCATTGCTTAATAATGTCTCACAAATTCTTTGTTTCACTTTTATGACAGTTCTTGGTAATGAAATGCATTTCCCATCCATGTACCTAACTTAATTGCGCATACGCCTCATTGACTGGGTCGCTGTTGCAATGCGACAGTCGGCTAGAAATAGCAGCCACTTATCCGCCGAACAATAAGCCATAACAAAACACTCACGTTCACACATGGTTAACCTTCAATCAGGCTCTCTCGTGGATCAGGCCTAATCCGAATGTGGAATAGGAGGAGGAGGAGGAGGAGACCTCCGTGGAGGTCTGCAACGTCATCGTCATCATCTCGCTGGTAATTGCTTGTGGCTTTCTTCACAACCCGCTCGACACTTGGCACTTGGGCTGCTCCAATTTGTTACGTGGAGCTGGACTGCGTTGGACTGGACCCAAAACATGAGCTGCAGGTGCTTGAGTGTTGACGTTAATGTCATTGTTGCCACGGTCCAGGTGACCCACATACAGGGCAAATGAAGCGGCGCTAATTGCTGGCCGATAAATTGATTTCATTGCAGTTGCATCACGCACATTCGAGGCGGTGGGTGCGTTTAGTCGGCTTAAACGGGATGCCAAATTAATTGGCCAGGTAATCAGAGTTGAAAGTGCGTGCACACTTAGCCCCAGTGGCTTTAGTGGATTTAGCAGCAGGTGGCCAAGAGCCAAGTGCTGGCCGAGACTCGAAGTCCGTTCGGAAAGATGAGCGGCGGCGCCTCGTTCACTTGCTGTTTCCGCCAAGGTCACCCGGACTGCGAGTTAACAGCATGTTGAACACTGCCAACGGGTATTAACGCTTATTAATGGCAACAAGCTTTGCTTTTGTGGCTCTGTTGCAATGGCCATTAAGCCAGAAGATGCTGACTTGCAGACGGACCATTGATTATGGCCCCTCGTCCTTTGCTACAGATACAGATGCAGTTTGCCATCTACATAGCCATCGCCGTCGCCCGAATGTGGATGAAACCGGCTCGGACTGTTACGCAATTTCTGGCCAAAAGCGAAGCTAAGCCAGGCCAGCCGTTTTATTCGCACAGTCAGAGGTCTCGCATTCCAATTTGCGTAGACTCGTCGCCAATTCGGAGTTGAAGTTGGTGTTGGAGTTGGAGCTGCTGATGCTGCCCACTCCTGGTCCAAACTTTGGCCGTTTGTCTGCTCCAAGTCGGCAGTCAGGTAGGCAGCTGCACCCGCTGCAAGTGATTTCC